TAGGTCTAGAATGATGTGTGTTAAGTTTCATGAAAATCGGTACAGATTTAGATATAGCTCCCATATATAGTTTCGCCCGATTTAATGTAAATGGTGCACCAAAGTCCCTATATATCTTCGATTTGCACGAAATTTGGCATATCGTACTGAATTAAGTCTACAAAGATGTGTGTTAAATTTCGTGGAAATCGGTTGAGATTTAGATATAGCTCACTCATATATTTTCGTCCGATTTAATGTAAATGGTGCACCAATGTCCGAATATATTTTTCGATTTACACGAAATTTGGCACAGCGTACTGAATTGAGCCTAGAATGATGAGTAGTAAGTTTCCTGAAAATCGGTTCAGATTTAGATATAGCTCCTATATATAGTTTCGTCCGATTTAAGGTAAATGGCGCACCAAAGTACCTATATACCTTTCGATTTGCAGGAAATATGACATAGCGTACTGAATTGAGTCTAGAATGATGAGTGGTAAGTTTCCTGAAATTCGGTTCCTATTTAGATATAGCTCCCATATATATTTTCGTCCGATTTTATGGAAATGGTGCACAAAATTCCCTATATATCTTTTGATTAGCACGAAATTTCGCATAGCGTGCTGAATTAAGTCTACATAGATGTGTGTTAAATTTCGTGAAAATCGGTTCAAATTTAGATATAGCTCCCACATGTATTTTCGTCCGATTTTATGTAAATGGTGCACCAAAGTCCCTATATACCTTTCGATTTGCACGAAATTTGGCACAGCGTAATGAATTAGGTCTAGAATGATGTGTGTTAAGTTTCCTGAATATCGGTTCAGATTTAGATATAGCTCCCATATATATTTTCGTCCGATTTTATGTAAATGGTGCACCAAAGTACCTATAGATGTTGCGATTTGCGCGAAATTTGCCATAGCGTACTGAATTAGGCCTAGATTGAGGTACGTGAAGTTTCGTGAAAATCGGTTCAGATTTAAATATAGCTCCCATATATAGTTTCGTCCGATTTAAGGTAAATAGTGCACCAAAGTCCCTATATATTCTTCGATTTACACGAAATATGGCATAGCATACTGAATTAAGCCTAGAATAATGTGTGCTGAGTTTCGTTAAAATCGGTTGAGATCTAGATATAGCTCCCATACATATTTTCGTCCGATTTAATGTAAATGGTCCATCAAAGTCCCTATATATTCTTCGATTTGCACGAAATTGAGTCTGGAATGATGTGTGCAGAGTTTCGTGAAAATCGGTTGAGATGTAGATATATAGATCATATAGTCGGCCCCGTCCGACTTTAATACTTTCCTTAATGGTTTAAATCAATTTTTTTGGCAGATCCCGAAAAAAAATATTTTATTGAGAGACCACAGGCCTTTATAAAGAGACCATGGCTTCAACATGCCAACACACAGCCAGCCTTCCATCAATATTTTAGCTCTCATACTTAACCTCAAATTGTAACAATGTTTCAAAATTGTCCATAAGAAAAACCCCCCAAATTTTTATCTTGCATGAACAATCAACCAAGCTAAATCAAGATTTTTTTCTTGTTTTACCTTTTAAGTTTTGTGGAGAGCCCTTCGATTAATCAACAAAGGGAAGGGGGGGCCTTCTTATGCACCTAAGTGCTACATAGCCCCCTCCATAGCCACCTTTTCACCCCTCCCATTTTATTTATTGATTACCAATATGTGTGCAGCGTGAGTTCAAAACTAACTCACTTTGGGTCAAATAAATATAATTATTCGATGCGAGAACAACAAACAACAAAAAAACAACAACAACTGAAAACCACTTTTAAACCTTTTTTGTTAACAAAAATTAAAAGAAAGGCAGTCTGACTGGCGGGCAGCCAAAGAATGTTCAAAATCTTGAAATAATGTAATGGCTTCTTTTTGGGGATATGTAATGGCTATGAGTGTGTGTGTCTGTGTGCGTGCATATGTAATTTATTACAAACATCATTTGGTTAATCGATCCCCCCACCCCTCCCTCTTCTCTTTTACATGCCCAGTGTAGATGAGGGTTTTCGGGAGAAATCGTGTTTTCTTGTAGCCCACTAAATAAAAGGGCTATAATCAATGTTTTATTGTTTCGGTTTTGGGTTTTTCTGATTTTTAGTTTTCGGATTGACTAATTGACCATTTATTGTATACGAGTGGAAGGGGTGGGGGTATTGACTTACAAGAGTCAATTAAAACCAGTAAGGAAAGTAGTAAAGTCGGACTGGCCCGACCGATATGATACCCTTCACCACTTTGTGTGAAGGGTGGTATCATATTCAAGTCTCAATCGAAATCTGAATCGATTTTCCCGAAACGTACCACACAGCATTCTAGGCTTAATTCAGTACGTTGTGCCAAATTTCGTGCAAATCGAAAGATATATAGGGACTTTGGTGCCCCATTTTCATAAAATCGGATGAGAATATATATGGGAGCTATATCTAAATCTGAACCGATTTTCACCAAACTTAAAACACATCATTCAAGATTCAATTCAGTACGCGATGCCAAATTTCGTGCAAATCGAAAGATATATAGGGACTTTGGTGCACCATTTACCATAAATCGGATGAATATGTATATGGGAGCTATATCCAAATTTGAACCGATTTTCATGAAATTTAACACACATCTTTCTAGACTTAATTTTGTAGGCTATACCATATTTCATGCAAATCTATTTTATTTAGGGACATTGGTGCCCAATTTACCTTAAATCGGACGAAAATATATATGGGAGCTATATCTATATCTAAACCGATTTTCACGAAACTTAGCACACATCATAATAGACTTAATTAGTACCCTATGCCAAATTTCGTGGAAATCGAAGGACATATGGGGTCTTTAGTGCATCATTTACATAAAATCGGATGAAAATATATATGGGAGCTATATCTAAAGCTCACCCGATTTTCACGGAACTTAACACACAACATTCTAGACCCATTTCATTACGTTGTGCCAAATTTCATGCAAATCGAATGATATATAGGAACTTTGGTGCACCATTTTCACTAAATCGGACGAAAATATATATGGGAGCTATATCCAAATCTGAAGCAATTTTCACGAAACTTAACACACATCATTCTGGACCTAAATCTGTAACCTATGCCAACATTTCATACAAATCGAAAGATATTTAGGGACTTTGGTTCGCCATTTACATTAAATCGGACGAAAATATATATGGGAGCTATATATAAATCTAAACCGATTTTGACGAAACTTAACACACGTCATTCTGGACCTAATTTAGTACCCTATGCCAAATTTCGTGCCAATCGAAGGATATATAGGGACTTTAGTGCATTATTTACCTAAAATCGGAAGAAAATATATATGGGAGCTATATCTAAATCTGAACCGATGTTCACCAAACTTAACACACATCATTCTATACCTAATTCAATACGCTGTGCCAAATTTCGTGCAAATCGAAAGATATTTAGGGACTTTAGTGCACCATTTACCTTAAATCGGATGAAAATATATATGAGAGCTATACCTAAATCTAAACCGATTTCCACGAAACTTAACACACATCATTCTAGACTTAATTCAGTACGCTGCGCCAAATTTCGTGCAAATCGAAAGATATTTAGGGACTTTGGTGCACCATTAACCCTAAATCGGACGAAAATATATATGGGAGCTATATCTAAATATCATCCGATTTTCACGAAACTTAACACACATCATTCTACACCTATTTCAGTAGGCTATGCCAAATTTCGTGCAAATCGAATGATATATAGGGACTTTGGCACACCATTTACCTTAAATCGGACGAAATTGTATGTGGGAGCTATATCTAAATCTGAACCGATTTCCACAAAACTTAGCACACATCATTCTAGACCACATTCAGTACACTATGCTCAATTTCCTGCAAATCGAAAGTTATATAGGGACATTGGTACACCATTCGGACGAAAATATATATGGGAGCTATATCTAAATCTGAACCAATTTTCACGAAACTTGGCACACATTATTCTAGACTTAATTCAGTACGCTATGCCAAATTTCGTGCAAATCGAAGGGTATATAGTGACTTTGGTGCACCATTCGGACGAAAATATATATGGGAGCTATATGTAAATCTGATGCGATTTTCACGAAACTTAGCACACATCATTCTGGACCTAATTTAGTACCCTATGCCAAATTTTGTGCAAATCGAAATATAGATAGGGAATTTTGTGCACTATTTACATTAAATCGGACGATAATGTATATGGGAGCTATATCGAAATCTGAAGCGATTTCCACGAAATTTAACACACATCATTCTAGACCTAATTCAGTACCCTATGCCAAATTTCGTGCAAATCGAAAGATATTTAGGGCCTTTGATTCACCATTTACCTTAAATCGAACTAAAGTACATATGGGAGATATATTCAAATCTGAATCCAAATCGGATCATAAATGCAACCTTTAATAGGTTTACAATTTAACATGTACAGATGGACAGACGGACGGACATGCATAAATCGACTCAGAAAGTGTTGCTATGCATATTCTCAAAAGGACCCATGGGTCTATCTCGTTTGCCTGTTACGAACATATGCACAAAGACACAATACCCTGTACCACTGAGTTCTGAAGGTTATAATGAATGGCGGTTTTTAGAAACTGTTGCCTAGTTTTAGGTGTTTCCGTAAATTGACTAAATACTGGGAATATTATTGTAATTATCAGGTACAGAACAATGATACCTATATGGGAACAGTTGACTTCGAAACCACGGATAAATGGTTGAGATCCTCGATTAAAACTAGGAACACACAATGGGAATACCTTTTAAAAATTGTCAATTGAAAGAAAACGGCTTCAGATGTTGGCGATTTTTTCAGAATTTCGGTTGGTTTTATTCGACGATCTTGACACAGCCTTTTTCGGAAATTGGTTGATAACTCCTCCCCTTAAAGACAAATGAAAAGAAATTATTTTTTGTATTTAACAAATAAAAAAAATTTATTTTTCTAATTTTCAAAACAAATAAACCTCCTCTATGGAATACCATTTCGATGAACTCTTCTCCTTCAGATTTGTTTTACGTTCCACAATATTATATAGTAAGGCGGCAACATTTTGTAGCTCCACAATTTCTTGTTTATAACTATCGAATAGTTCATGCCATTTAAAAAGTAACTCAATGAGGGCCACTTCTTTGGATAGGGCCAATTTTTGAAAGTGGGAATTAAGGAATACACCAAACCATCGTAGCAATTGTAATTCATAATCAGTACTTGTCTCATAGAGAGTGGGACGATCTTCTAGATATTGTTGCTGCTCGGAGGTTAACATATCGTAAAGATGTTCCAAGAGTAGTACTACCTCTTTATATTCCATATCTTGACGTATGCATTTGGCAATTGTCTCCGGGTCAAAGGAACAGGCCAACAGGGTGTTGAGAATGTTTTCTAGATCTGAGGGATTGTGGGGGGTTGATTTGGTTTGTTTTTTGGCGAGGATGCCCAAATGGAATTCTTCTTCTTCAGCATTCTCCTCTTCTGTGGCATTTTCATTATCCTCCTCCATGGGTTCTTCTAGGGTGCCATTTGTTTTGCTGGACTTTTCCTTGGTGTATTTTTTTAAAATATAATTCAAAGTTTTGGATAAAATCTTCTCGGAAATGTTGGTATAACGCCGCAGGCACACTCCAATATCCTGCACCAAATTGGCTTTCATGAGGACGGTTAAAAGTTTCTCGGTGATTTCATGTTCACTGGCACCCACCCGCTCCAGCTGCTGGGCAATCAATTGCAATTCCTGGCATGAGAACCCCTCATCATTATGATTTGACATGAGATTTATGTGAGGCACATCCAAACGATTATCCGGAATAACATCAACATGTAAATGTAATTGTCGCAAGGCATTTAGTTCTTTATCGAATTCTTGGGGACCCATAAAGGGTACAGTCAGACCATCAGCTTCCACGATTTTTAAATCTTTCTCTTCCTTTTCCTTTTCATTGTGCGATTGGACATCTTTACTATATTGCAGACATTCTTCCATGACATCCTCCTCATTGATGTGATCAATTTCAATGGCCGTTTGATAATCATTAGAGACTTGGGTACCCAGTAATTCCGATAATACCTCTTTGAGTACTTGATATTTTACGACAGATAGATTTTGACCCATGGCCAAAATGATATGATCACTAACAGACCACAGTTGGGAATAATTGAAATAGACTTTGAAAAATTGTTTGGTTTTGATGACCTTAAATTGGGTATTGTAGAGGAGTAGGGAGCCGCCCTCTTGGCCATGATTGGCACCATAAATGGCCACAAAATGTTTGGATATGCCCATCACGGAGAGAGGGCAATCCACTTTTAGCTGAGTCAACAAAGAAACAAAACTGCCGGGGGAACGTTCAGGGCAGACCTCATCGCCGAGATTTAAAATAAACATGCGTTTATCGGACCCTGGAAAAGAACGAAAATAGATTCCAATGAAATTATTTCCATATTCGATATCTAATTTTAAATACTCACATATTGTCAATAGCATTGGCACTCCCTCACCCTCAATGACCGCCGCTCCAGCCACGGATACACTTAAATTTTCCCTCGTAAGTTTAAAACGTTTTGGTGGCTCCATAACTACACCCTCTGCCGACAAAGGCAGACGTATCAAATGATAATCCCCATTAATGGAATTCCGTTCAAAATAGGTTAAGATCCGACAACCATTAGCCGAATTATAAACACTGGCATTTGTAAAGGTTAACTTTTTCGATAATTCCAATTGTTGATTGGTCGAAATA